AATAAATAAAAAAATTATTCACTCTTCTTATGTTTCGTAATCAATCGATGTATGTACGAACATCTCTCTCAAAAGCTAAAGTGACCAACTTTATTTCGTAGAATTACTTTTAAAATATTTTTTAACTTTTCGTAAAATTTTTAATAAACGCATGATTACTTTATAACTTTATCAATTTTCTTTACATTTTATTTCGAGGAGTTAATCAGTTTGGCTGCTATACACGCGTTAACATAGATGACATAATATATTTTAGTATGTCTCTCTTAAAAATATTCTGCAGATGTTTCGTACTCTTATATGCGAGATATATCTCAGAGGCATGATTTTCTAATAAGATATCTTGACAAGATTCCGCAGAGTCTCTTTCGCTACGTGAGATATATCTTCTACTAAAATTCTGAATACCCCTCAAAAAATATACTATTTTTATCGAATTTATCTATCTTCGAAGTATCTTTTATGAAGTGCATTTAAATTTCTACTTAGTGATGCAATCAAAACTTAATATCAGAGAAATGAGAGGTGAATGCTTCGTAAAGAGCAAAAGGTCGATATCGATTCTAGCAATTGCCGAGTTGTAATTTGTATCGGGGGAATAGAGGCGTGAAACACATCACTGTTAACCGAGTTTGCTTTCGTAGTCTACTTCCACGAGGAAGGCCTTGCATCAGCGATTCCAATCGCATTACGCCTTTGTTGATGTTCGATCTCGGCTTCACTTGCTGATTTCGGTAATTAAGTAATCATATTTATTTCCACGCTTATCCGAGCGTAAATTAAACCGAGTTCATGCTTCAAGTATATACATATTTGATGCAGTATCATCCGTTTCCTCTCATCCTTTAGCTGTAATTATATTAGCTTTATTTATATTCGGACAAGGATGGAAATAAATTTAATTATTACCAAAATTAATTAATTAAGCTTAACAAGCTGGAAAATATTTTTAAGGATACTTTTTTTATATTTGGCAGAATATTTTTTTTTAAATATTCATTTTTTTAAATATTTTTCCTATCAACAATTTTATATATTTTATTCGCATATTTTAGTAAAATATTAAGTACTAATTACAAGTAATTAAAATATTAAATAAAGCAATAAAGTAATTAAATTATATAAATATCAAATATAGCCAAATATATAATAAAAATATTAAATAATTAAGTAAAAATAATTAAAATATTAAGAAGTAGAAAATGAGGAATAATAAAATATAATTTCATGAACTTTTAATGTTTAAAAGATATTATTCTCACATATTATTTTCTGCATCTTCATCAATTCAATAAACTCGAGTATGCAAATCAGATAAAATGTGAAACGTTCGTGTATTACTCATATCTCAAAAATCTTATTAATATCAAAACGGGTTGTGATGATATACGACTACTAGCTGCATAAATTTAATTTACGAATAATGATAAAAGAGATGAGTAATAGTATCATTACGTATCTAGTAATTTCAATAATTAATTACTGCAAATATGCGATATTACTATACTTGCAAGTTAATATTTATGTAAGTTTATACTCTATTTTCTTATAGATATAAAACATAAGATATAAAACAGAAAATCCGTTAGATATATCAGATAAATAATAAAAAGATTAAAGACAGATAATTTATATTTATAATTATCTTCTTCATTAAACTTTATTGCATGTGTATATACACTTAGAAATATTTGACGTATCGACATATTTCAAAATGAAAGACGTCTCTAGCATAAGATGAAATCTTGTTCACTTCCGACGAATCGCTTACATTTTCGATGAACGTTTGCTTCTTCTGCAAATGCAAAAAAAATGTGCAAGACGAATTAATGGAATTTGTCGATGTTAACTTTATTTCTTTTATCGTAAAAATATTTTCGAAATTATATTGCAAATTTAAAATGACTCCTTTTATCAATGCACATAACATAAAATTACACTTCAAACAACATTTCAAGTTTGTAACTATTTCAAGTTTGTACTCTAATTGGTCATTTTCGTATTTATTGTCTTGTAAATGTTATATAAATCGCGGATAATTTTACTAAAAAGTAAAAGATTGAACAATGCATATTTTTATAAACAAAATTGTTAATACGTTCTTTCAGATTGAAAGAAAATATTTAATATTAATTATATTTCATTATTGCATGTTTGAAAGAATTCGGAAAAGGTGAGTGAGCAAGGAAACAGCAGTTTTAGTTTACATAGTATATGTTAAATTTATACATTCAATTACAGTATTAATAATGTATAAATAACTGCGCGAGAATTGTAAGACGATATATAATCTTAGGTGTAGTAAAAAATGTTTTCTACATTAGTTTTCTGAGCTTAACTTTACTATTTACAATGCACCTAAATCAAGGACACTTGTTTTGGCATATCACCACGCGACTCTCATACTATCATGTCACTTAATTATTTTCTGCAATAAAGAAAAATGAAACTTGAAAAATAAATCGATTACACATGAACAGTGATCATTCTAATAGTTGACTTGTTAATTTTTTATTTCTACTTTTTGATTATCTACAGAAGACTACTGGAAAATACGCACAAGACAGGTGTCCGAGTATAGATATTTCGAACATTCTACGTGTCAAAAAAGGACTCGCGAGAATAGTAGTATATCTTTCTTACATTGAAAAATTGCAGCAATTATTTAAGATTTATGTTACATATTATGTCAAACCAACTATGTCAGATTAATTAATGGAAACTGATATGTGTAAACATTTTATTTTCCCCGCGATTCATACCACTATTCTATTTTTTTAATGGCTCTTATATATTTATATATTATTATTACAAATAGATAATGTGCTTATTTCGAGCATGCGAATGGCATTTGAAAAAAGCACGTTTCCAATATTACGGGATATATTTCATTATTAGGAAGTATAAGGTACCGTATTTCTCACTGGTTTTGAAATAAGACAAAGCAGTACGCAAAGTCGGAATCTTAATAAATAGTCTAAATCAAGAGGCACAAAATATTATACAAGAGATGAAATCGAGAGAAAGGTACATTTCTAGTTTATCTCTTTCGCGAATCAGGCACATATACAAAGTACATTTTATTATACAAGTATAATTATTCGTACTTGTTATCATACTCAAGGCACTATTCGTTATAGGATGACAAGAAAAAATATAATCGGTCATATAAAACTGTGCTCTTACAAGCAGTAATTGAAATATTTTCTTCTTGCGATTCATGCTAATTTCTTCTTTTAATCAATCAATATATAAACAACGGATAAAAAAAATCCCATATTGTTGGATTTTTCTTGTGACTCACATGTGGTAATACTTATAAAAAATGTAATCGTCACTCTTAAGATTATAAAATATTGAAGCTTATCCTTTCAGTATTTTATTTAACTACTTTAGAAGTTAATACATTGGTATCATTCTGTAAAAACAGATAGTAGAATCGTGTTATATTGATTGAGTAAAGGAAAAGACTGGAAGGAGAAAAAATCATTCTGCTTATAAGATTTTCCATCAAGTACATTAAATAATCAATTATTCTGCAATTAAACTAAATACTTATTAATTCTTTAACTTTTAAAAATAAACTTTAATTAATCTTCAAATAATGACTATCAAGAAAATGCTAATACGTAGACCCGGAATATACAGTCATGGCCAAACGAAATACTTAGAAATATTCGCATTACAATATAGCGAATACATGCGGATGCATTCGTAAAACAATCTTACTTATATATGGCCTGTCTACAATTTTACGAACAAAATTATAATGGCAAGGTGTTACTCTTTCAAGCAACGCAAAATCTACAATATTAATATTAACTATTAACGTTGCACGAAATCAAATTATAACAAAATAATATATGTGTAAGAAAAAAGATGAAATATTTTTTTAGAGCACCGTGAAAACTTGTAAGAATTGATGCCATACGTAATTCTTGAATTTATCACGTATCGAATTTTGAAAAAAGCTCATTCAATTACGATCATTTTTACTATGATTTACGTAATTATTTTTCATAAATAATTTTCCCAAACAATATTTAATAAATTATTTCATTATAAATAATTGACAGTTAGCGATATTTTAGAACATGTGCAATTGGAAAAACCTCACAAATCAAGCATAAAAATGAATAGTGCTATAAAAAAAGTTATCAGTAGCCTGTTATTTTTATATGTATATTAATTACATAAAAGAGAATTTATGCAAATTTGTTATTAAAAAATTTAAAAATTTTCATTTATAACAAAACTAAATTCTCAAATAGAAAAGTGCAAGAATTTATATATGAAAAATATTATTGATTGTATTTATTTAGCGCACTATTTTATTTCCTCCATTTTATATATATATATATATATATATATATCTTATAATTATATAATTAATTATATAGAAAAAGGAGCAGTTTGTTTCTCGTTGTTTAAGTTCTTATTTCCAATAATATAACAATGGCAATTCATTTTTTTCGATATAGTCAATTATGCGGAATTATGAAAAAAGTATAAAGATATAAAATTGTATAAACATTTATAATATAGATTTATTTTACGAATCTGTTCTCATTTCAAATCCATATTAACATTAAAATTGTTTCTATTTTTTTGTGCGATTACCTTTAATAAATTTTGGACGTATAAAATATTAGTAAATATTAATTGCATTCTCTTCTTGTAATAAACCCAATGAAATCACAGAGCATTGAAATATAATATTATCTAAGCAAAACCTATCAAATTTGTATCGGTTGGCAATATTTTGTTATGAAGTATATTGACTATTTTGGCACATAGCAGGTATGCATTAGTATTTAATAATTAATTAGTATTTAATGCTTTCGTTTCTGGATTTAAATATTTTGACACATACACCAGACTTCAAAACCAGACTTTAAAATTTAATTTTTGCACAAAATACGAAATATATTTTTAAATCCTTATTAAAAAATCTACAGCATATAAGTATCTTCATTGATAAACGATCAAAGAGAGATAAAGCCGCACGTAAATTTTTTTATAGCTTAAAGATCAGACCTCCTTTGTGTGTGTATGATTCCCGCTGAACAAATTCTAATGAGTAGAAAAACAGAAATAAAAAAATAGTAAGTAAAATGTTAAAATTGCAGAACATTTTTATGTAAAAAACACAAAAATTATTGTTATTAGTTGGAGGACATGAATATGTATTCATGATCTGGATTTATACTGTAATTAAATCGGCTATACTTGTCTACCCATTTAAACAAATGCTTTTTCTATTTTTGACATTGAGATTGTGAATACAATTGGGATATATTAATTAATGAGACATTTAATTAATGAGACATTGCTATTTTTTTTTTACAAATTATCGATATATTTATTAAGAAAAGTTTTTGCACATGCCTGCAGTGTCTATTAGTATAAGTCTGGCTTTATTTATCATTAAAATAATGATTAGAAAATTCGAAAAAATATCTTCGAATCATGTAATTTGACGATATATCTCCTTTAAAACAATTCAATTGACTCGACGCGAAAAACGAACTGTATTTATATAAAAAGATGTTAGTTCTTTATCGTATCTTATAGGCGAATAAGTGCAGAAGCTAAGAAGGCATATACAATAATTACAAGAAATAATACATAAAATAAATAAATGATGTTAATAATAGTTAATAATATAACAATAATAATTAGACATTGTTGGACATTAATAACAGTAATATCATTTTTATAATGACGTATTCGCGGATAAGGCGATATTCAGGAAAAATTGTACTAAATTCTATTATAAAAATAGTAATAATGAGAAATGAAATAATTACAATCATTTATGAAACAGAGAGAATTGTGATAGGAAAAATGTTACAGCACGTCTTCGGGCTTTTTCCGTTAAATATAATAAACTAATGTCTTAATTTATAGACGATATATATTAGTTTAACATACCACAGTGGTTTGTTAAAAATGCACGTCTCTTTGTTTAGAATACTAAACGACTGTAGCAAAAGGAAGTATGACTGCTTGCATATTAATTACAACCTTCGCAGCGAAGCCATACTGAGGGCCTTTCGAGTCGGTTGATCCGACATGGGTGCAACTAAAACATCCTCTCTATTTGGAGAACTTGAACCACCATTATCCAGCTCCTGAAAACATATAAGACTTAAGATATAAGATTTAATATATTCATTCTTCATCCTCTTATTTATTTCAAACATAAAAATAGAAAATGCATCAATAAAAACTTTCACATTTAAATTTTATTTTAGAATACAAAATAAGAATTTTACTAAAAAAAATTATTGATATATGAATTATTAATTCATATATTATTAATATT